TACTTGTCTATGGATCCGTTGTCTCCGTACGACGTTCTCATATACGTACAAAACAGACTACGATTCTGGTATTTCCATGTCTATGGGATTTGGAAATTTAAACGGCAAGCTGACTTCGGGCCGACCGTTTTTGTTAACGTGGAGACGAAATTTTGAGCTAGATCTGAGCGGCGAGTCGCGAACGCAACTGATACGAAGGCACGGCGGCGACGGGCAGAAGTACCCCACGCACAACTGATTGCACGCACGCGTGGGCACAACTCTCAACCAAACGACGATCTAGGAGGCATCTCCTTTACAGTGTGACCACCATGCCACACTTTTCATTCGTAAACCAAAGCATAACCGAATAATAAGGAAATGTTATAACAATCCATAATTATAGATTTTACAAATTTTTATTAAAAATACTTTTGAAATTTTCTATATGCTAATTTTTTATAATTAGCATAAAATTCTACACAAGAATTTTTACAAATATAGTCTTAAAAAATGTTAACGACATTTTTTTAACAGTATTCTAGTATAGTAATATTTAATGACAGACGTTTTGATCTACAGTCCCTGGCCATCTATACATCAAGAGGTCGAAAAGCTTACAAATCCCTTACCGCCCAGTTTATTGGCATCATAACAAACGGTTCCAAACGAGTTGGGAGAATTTCTATATTAATTTTACAAGACGGCGACAGCAAATAACACATGTCATTCACTTTTTTTGTAGCCAAAATTAAGTTACACGCAAAATAGTTTGACAATCCCATGGCAAAGTTATCAGTTATCATAGCCTATAACTAATTTATTAGTTGAGTTCTAAATTTTGAAATATATATTTAAAGACTTGATTATTTTATTAAGTATTGACCTCGAACGTTATTCACCAAGTCATCTATATACTACATTATGGGTTTATTTAATCAAGTGATGTATACTTTAAGTTCAAAGGTAGTTCAATAATCAAATATAATAAAATTTAAAGAAACAATAATAAAAACAATATAAGAATACAAGCACATATTAATATCGTAAATTTATAAAATTAAAAAAATTTATTTTAATTTTAAAAGCAATAGTTAAAATATACAACTAAATGTTAATGAATAAAAATCGATCTATTTTCTTAAAATAGTATATTTACTTTAGTAATAAGTGATTATAGTTACCTCTCATGTTAATTAATAACACATTCTACGGGTTACTTAAATAATTTTATAAATATTTTGAAAAATGACTTAAAAAAATTAAAGGTTTATAAATACTTACCATGATGAAAATGGATATATGGAGATGTATTTTTGAGAGCATAGGAAAAAAAATTATCATAGATAACTCCTCTCAAGACGATACACTATGATCGTCATTAGTAATAACAGTTATATTCAGTGTTAAATTAAAAGTTTAATGGTAAAAATCTTTTTTTTCTAAGCTCGAGAAAAAAATTATTAAATCTTGTTATCTTATTTAGCAAAAATATAATACATTTTTTTTTCTATTTCATGATGTTATTCAAATAAAAATTATAAGTATCTGTTAACATTTTTTTAATACATTTATAAAATAAATTTGATTAATTTTATAGATAAGATGCATTGATAAAGTAAATCGATATATTTTAAGAAGTGTAAATAATATACTTTGAAAAAAAAATGTTTGAAGATAAGGTATCAAAATAATTTAGTATTAATGGAAGTAATCGAATATTTTCGTCAAATTGAATGTAGTGATACAGCTACTCTTCGCACAATAGACATTTAATTAAAACTAATGTTATTTCCGCTCGCTTTTAATATTTCAATATTTTATATTTACACTATACAGAGTGTTCAGTAAATAAGGAAACGAATTTCTATTGTACTCATTGTTTGTAACAATTTAACTGTTTCCTAACTTACTGAACACCCTGTATATACAATTACATTAAAAAAAAAAATGGGAATACTTTTAGACTGATATAAATTTATTTTAACAAATGATCACCAAGATTGTGGTAAAATTGCACATTTACATAGAAAAAATAAATAATGTTTAAAAAAACATGATTGAAGTTTCTTTGATCCAATACCTAAACCAGAAAAAAGACATCTACCTAGCCATTGATAACTGAATAAATTATTTGGAAAAAATACATAAGTAGTTAGTTATATAAAGAACAAAATTTATCTCGAAGATGTACGTTTTACCTGTTCAATTACTAATCCTAAACAGTCATTCGATATTGTAGAGCAACTTTATAGTACATTAAATATACTTGAGGGCCGCTCTCATATTCTCCCTTAAATCCCTTAAATAACTTAGAATTTAAACAAAGATCACACGGACCATGAATATATCCATTTTTTTTCGCCTATTAGATGTTAGTACAATGAAATCTATTTCCAATGAATTGGATTACCGCCAAAAAACTTAAAATATAATTTTAGTGTATTCAGCAATAACTTATAACAGCTGTTTAAGTACTAGATATTTATATTCATCATTAAGTTCGATTTCGATACCTAGCTTGTAAATTTCTTATCTTTATCTATACATTATTCCGTTGTTTTCATTTTCTAGGTATACTTTGGTGCTACGTCTCAAAACATTTCCTCTTATTGTCTCTATCGCCATTACTTTGAATTTATACTTTAACTTTATTATTAACTCAACAAAAGCAAACATAAGAGGGTGGGCAGAAGGTGCTTTGCAAACTATATTTAAACATATTAAATTATTTTTTATTATGATTCAAATACAAATCGATGTGTTATACGATTTTAATCACTGTCCAGTTATCAAACAATACCTCAAATTAAATATACTGGAACTGTACTTTACTTTTTTTCTCGCAAATTTTGAATTTTATTTACTATATCTATTTTTCAATGAAGTAATATGAACTAGATAAGTTATTTTTCTAATTTATTAACATATTTTATTGCAAATAATATACCTAAACTATTATAAATAATAATATTAAATATTTAAATAACAATATTTGTGTTCTGAAGAAAGATAATTATATGTAAGTAACTCTTATAGATTGAAACTGTAATATTTCATCCACCGAAATACCTACATGACTAGGATTCCAACTAAATATATTTGAAAGTTTTTAAGGTAAAATCTACATTATCTGACAGCCTTTTTTTCAATTTTTTTTTAATTAGTTTAGTTTTTCATGGTGATAAATAATATGTAAAATAAATTTGAGCAACAACAAGTGGTTTAAAGCAACTTAAAACTTATAGTTAATAAGTTAGTTAATAAAAAATACCAAATTTTCGAACATTTTTAAAAAATTGTTTTGTTTAATAACACATGTTAGATAATAATGTGTGTACATTATACATTATGTATAGAATATCGCGAAGTTATCGACAGGCAACTATTGCAAGCGGAACGTTGTTTCTCTGAACTAGTAACTGCCGTGCAAATGTTGTTATTAACAATGTATAAGAAATTTTTTCATATAATGTGGAGAATGTGAAATAAATTATTGTAATAGTATCAGTATTATCTATTTTTTAGACAGAAATGGTTAAATGATAATTCATTCTAATCCGAAGTTAGAGATAGAGATAGAGATGATTTTATTTTACGCAGCTGTATGTGGATAAATATCAAAATAGTGTTAGTGTGTGTATGTATTATTACTTTTTATAGAACATTTGATTAAACCATCCCTTTATCGTGATCTTTTGCTTCAAACCGTAGGATGACAAAAAGTTATTAAAAATAAAAAGAGATATTTGACACTTATAAATTAGCATTGTATTATTGAAACACTAAATTTAATTTTTTTTAGTTGCACAATATAATAATGCATAATTGCTTTATACAAATAATGCATAATTAGTCATCATAAATTTTTCACAAAATATCCAAAAAATAAAACATTATGTTTTTATTATTAAATATAATTGATTAAATTAATAAAATATTATTAATAATTATCATATTTTATTAATACAATCAAAATTTTTATTATATCTTAATTACGTAATATTGATTGAAAACATAACTTTGGTAAAAAAATATTTTTGGTGGTTATTTTTAATTTAATATATATATTTTTTTTAAAGGTGTTTACGTTATATTTGTTATCATGTTTTTACTAAAATATGAAAAAATTCTTATAACAAAAAATAAACACAATTTTTGCTTTTTAACTCGTTAACTTTGAAAGGCTGTAACTTTTGAAACACTTTTCGCTGTCATTTTTTTCCAAATATTTTTGAAAGAAGCACGAAAAAACACATATTTTTATAAAAAAAATTCTGAAGAAAAATTAATTGTCCCGTAAAGTAGATTTGTTCCATATTTCCAATTAATTGCTTCTATAAACTGAATTTAATACCCCTTATTATCATTACTTATACCTAATTTTGAAATATTTAGTTGATTTTTTAATTTAGATCCTAAAATTTTTCTTGTTTCTTTTACTATATTTTCTTGTAAAACAACTAATTTTGTGTATTATTATTATTTATTTTTTTAACTTATATCATTAATTGTTAGGCTATATTATAGCCGCTATAATTCAATGAATTGAAATCTTTATTAATAATAAAATATAGGGAAAATAAAATTTTTTCTAGGGATTATAAATAATTTTTATATGATTTAGATAACAAATTCATAATTACAACATAAGATCGTTGTGTTCATTGTTACTTACACAAATATAGTATAAGCAGTGCCATATCATAGTCTGTAGCCATATTATCTATTAGGCGCTATATATCAATACATAGTTCCTACTAATTTATTTTAGGTTTCTTTTGTTTATCTCCCATTATAAAATTAAAAAAAAAATGTTTTTTTCTAATTGATACCTTAAGCCTAGCAATAGCTTAATCCGGTCCTAATTACTATTTTTACATATTATAAGTAATTCAAATTTTCAAGCTTATTGTTAGCTGTAAGTATCATTGGCTTGTTATCAACGGCATTTCTGTATCTTCTATATTACATTTTACCTCCAACGGTTGTTGCAGTGACAGTGCTGTACTGTGCAAATTGATAATATTATCCATATAACAGTCTGAGTTGAATATTGTAAACAATACATTCTATGTGGTGTGTACTTATTACGCGGGTTTCTGTGTGATTAAGCCGGCATCTAGACTAAAATTTCTTAAAAGTAAAACGATTGGGAAAAATGTCTGGTGGTGTTATTCTAGAAAATTTGAGCGGCAGAAAGTTGTTCGTACTCGTTTTTTTATTGCTTATTTGCCAGCTAGCTTGTTTTCTTATCGGTGGTCTCATAGGTAAATACCTTTTAACGTCTTGAGTAAAGAAAATATTTTTATAAATTTGGTTGTGATCTGTATTATTGAATTTTTCTTCATTTAGCTCCAACCCCGTCAGCAACTGATATGGTTTTGGCTTCAAAATGTTTAAAAATGTCTAACGATAGCAACCAGTGGTTTTACATTAGAGGTCAGGGAAAATGTGACACATTTGATTTAGAACACTATTCTTTAGATGGTTTTAAAACAAATCCTATGGCTGAAAATATTGTTTTCACTTTTCAAGTAATTCTCTTAATCATATAACAAACACAATTATATAATTAAAATTTTACCAAAAAAAATTTCTTTTGTAATATTATAGATTCCTACTCCACGTGATGGTGTTATTCTAGATTATTCACGTTGGCAACAAAATCTTATTGGTGTTTTATATTTTGATATTGTTTATCATCCAGGAACAGAAATGGGTAAAAAATAATATAAAATACATTAGTATTGCCTGAATTTTAATAAGTTCAAGCCTGAGACTATAAAATTTATAGGCCTAGATAAAAAAATTATTAATAAATAAGTATTTTATTGTAATTATGATGCTATCGACAAGATTATTTTACAATTGTTCAAAAAAATATTATTTCATGATATTTAATAGATCGCAATATTGAACTAACTTTGGAAACCAGGCTTGGTTATGCTAATCAAGGAGATAAAGATGGTGATTGGAAAGAATATGCTATGTCTATTGAAAAACGCAATCTAGATTGTATAGCTGAAGAGGTAATAATGTTAAAACAAAAGTTCATCAATAGTGATAAGATGTAAATTATAGCCTTTAAATGTGTAGATAAAACTTTTTTCTAATTTAGTTATAATATATTTTGAAAGTTTTGTTTAAAGAATGTTGACCAATGAAAATAAAAATATGTTTAAGTAGTATCATTACAAAAAAAACTATGTGCATGAACTTTAAAATTAGTGTTTAAAAAATTTAAATGTAACAATAGATTTAGTGATTGATAAATGTTTAGATACCCTTTTTTAAACTAAAAAATGTTTTATTTAACTGTCATACTGATATATACTATTATATATGAGAGTGGCTATAATACCTAAAACATTAATAATATTAATAACATTAACTCTTTATATCAATTCTTTTTATTCAATGAGTCTTTCTAATGTCTTAAAAAATTAAATTTAAATAACCTGCTACTTAATAAAATTAACTAGTACATATTGATAATAATAATAGAATACAGTTGCACCTAATGCCCCTCCTCTTAAAAGGGGACTTTATAAGTCATACAATATATATATATATATGATATTATACTATACTAAAGTCATTTTATGATTCAAATTGTTTTACTAATATAACTAAATAATTTATTTTGATCATGACAACTTATATTTACAAATATCTGACTTAAATAGTTTTTCCTGAGCATCATCGATTTAATGAAAAAATTGTTTAAGATTTAACAAATTTTTAATTAAAGGCCTGATTTTGTTTACTAAGTTTTTAATTGCTTAAATTTCAGAAAATTGAAGATCACAATTATCAATGTTCAATTGTTCCACTTTTTGAATTAGGATCATTGCATCATGATTATTATCTAATAAACATCAGGATACCAGTTAATGAACAAAAAAAATTAAATGTTGGCTTAGGTCATTTAAAAGATTTGTGGTTGGTTGTAAGTAAGACTATAATGATATGTGGGGTTAAAGTGATAAATTGTGTAAGTCAATTTTGGGAAAAATGATTTTGTAAATTGAAATAAAAATTTCAAATTTATCTCATTCTTTATTAACAATAGCAATAAAATTAAGTAATAAAAAAATAATATTGAATTTTTAAAATTTACATTTATATTAGCTCTTATAAAATTAAAAAAAATTAAATAAAAATGAACTTATATCAATTTTACTTTAACTCCCACATATAATGAAAATAAAGTTATCTTGAAAATTTGTTAGAACTGATAACTTCATTAGAAAAATAATTTATTAGGTTATAAATCAAAATGGAGGATTTACTAGAGTTTGGCTCACTATGAAAACAATATTTTTCCCATTTATTGTAGCAATAATGATATGGTTTTGGAATAGAGTTCATATGCTTACCCGTAAACCAGTTTTACTTGAAAGAATGTTGATGACTATAGGTTATGCACTTACACTTTTAAACTGTATGACTTTATTTAGTTTATGTTAGAACTAAAAAAAATATAAATATAACTAATTTCATGTTTTGTAAATTAATGTATTTTAGTTCCAATTGAATTTCTGACTTTGTATTATGATATGCCTTTTATGTTGTTGCTTCAAGATATTAGACAAGGTGTTTTTTATGCTGCATTACTTTCATTTTGGCTCATCTTTGCAGGAGAACATCTTATGGTTAATATTTTATTTTTCTCTGTTATAACTATTTATATACACACTATTAATATATAATATTCACTACTATCATAAACTAATATCTTTAAAAATTTTTGTTTCATGATTCACTCTACAACTTGTGGTTAACAGATTCAGGTAAATTGAATATTAATATATTAATTTTATCTGTGTTAAATTTTTTGCTATTCTATTTGAATATTTTTTAAGTTCTAATGAATTGTTTTTTATAAAATTACAATGGTTGGTAAATGGTAGTACTTTTAATTGATTTAATCTAAGGTATTCATTTATACTTTTTTTTCTTAGGATCCTCAGCATAAACATTTGCGTTCGTATTGGAAACATTTAAGTGCTGTTGCTGTTGGGTGTATTTCACTTTTCGTTTTTGATTTATGTGAAAGAGGAGCACAACTTAAAAATCCATTTTATTCTATTTGGGTTACAAAAACTGGAACTAACTTAGCTGTATCCTTTCATTTAATTATTTTTTCTGTCTAAAGTAAATGGTTCTTAAATTTATTGAAAATTTATTTTAATATAAATATTTTAAAAATATTAATTTAAAACTAAAAAATATTTAATTAAAAAAGCCAAAAAATAACTAAAAAATTATGTGTATATATTTATTTTGTTAGAATTAAAGTGAAAAAATTAACTCAAGGGCCTTTTTCTTTGGATCAATTGTTTAAATTATCAATTATCAATATCAAATAAATACTATATTTTGTTTCTTTATATTTAAGTAAAAGTTGTACTTTCNTATCAAATAAATACTATATTTTGTTTCTTTATATTTAAGTAAAAGTTGTACTTTCTTTAACTACAATTTTTATATAGTTAACTTTTATAATATTAGCAGCAATATCGGGAGGTCTGTATTTCATATTTTTATGTTATATGATATGGAAAGTTTTTTGCAACATAAGTGCTAAAAGAACAGCTTTACCTAGTATGTCAAATGCACGGAGATTACATTATGAAGGAAGTATTTATAGATTCAAATTTTTGATGATTGCTACACTTCTGTGTGCTGCACTTACAGTAATTGGATTTATTATGGGACAGGTAATATTTTAAACCAAAATAGTATAAAATTTATTAAATTATAATTATAAATAAAATATATGAATAATTGAACACGAGTCACTCAAAATTATTAAAGTGTTTTTTTAAATATAAATTTTCTCTAAGGTAGTTTATAGTATTTTATGTGCAGTAAAATTTGAAAAATTAAGTTCTATCTTCTCATTTATGCCTTAAAAGTATATCAATTTGCGCTTTTTATATAAAAAATGTTTGTACTGAAAATTTACAATAAATACCTCAGGTATTGATTGCATTTAAAAATATTATTGTCTAAAATAATGTTTCACAAAATGTTACTGGTTAGTCATTTTCTAAATTATATATTTTCCTAACTTTTTAGTCAGTTAAATATATGTATTACTTTAAAAAATATTTAAATTGATACAATTTAAAAAAAAAGGAAGTTAAAACTAATTAATTTTATTTATATTTAGCCTGTAAAATATTAAAAACCAAAAAAAAAAAATATATATGTTAATTTATTAAATACAATTTATTATATTGTATGCATTACTAACCCTGAATAATACCATAGAATTATTTATATTTATATTTATAATTATTTATTATGCTTTGGATGATATTAGTGTTCTCAACATTAAATACAATTAGGAAATACTTTTACAAGTAAAATTATTCCTGATGGATAAAAATTACCTATTTTTTCCATTATGTTAATATAAAAAAACCCAGCACAGGGGCGTCGCAGCACAGTGGTGACGTGGCACAGTTGGATCAAGTATGATGACATCTGACAGTGATTAAAATCACTAAAATAAGAAACGCTTCGATGCAAATCTTAAATAGTGTTTAATTTTAAAAAATTGGTGGATTATTCCAAAAGCTACATGATCTGCTAGTTCCTTATTAATATCTTGATAAAGATAAAGTATGTCGAATGAAATAGGGATTATTAAAAAATATTATTTCTCATAAAAAAATTATGTTGATCCATACACTTTTCAATATGTTATACCATTATAAAGTTAAAAATGTAAAAAATAAAATCGAGAATTTTCACACAATAATAGCATTTGGTAGACATTTTCACCGTGAAGACAAAATAAAGTCCGAAATTTTTTTTTTGCATAATAAAGGACATTACATTAGCTTTAATTTAAGATATATATAAGTGTCAGATTTTCCGGAACACTTTCAAAATTTAAGTTGAAAAAGTAAATTTTTTGTGAAAAAGTTGTCATTTTAAATCTTCCCCTGTGGGCAAGTAAAGGGTCAGATATAAAAAAAAATATACCAAATGAAAGGTAAAGACATCAAGCATCTATAAAAAAAAAAATTATATTGATATGTTCATTTTTGAAAAGGTTACGGCACATTTAAGTAAAAAAAATTGAAAAAATTTCGAAAATTAGGGATTTTTAAATTTGTAATTTTTTTTTGAGGTTTCCCCCATTTACGGGGAACGAGAGAATTTTTTTCAATTTTTGAGAGTAATGTCTTCGACTAGATACGATTTGTGATCTTTTGACGTATCATTGAAAGAAATCGGTTCGGTGAGTGCTGAGAAAAAGTGGGAACAAACAAAAAAAAAAACACATCATAGTAAAACCAATACCTTCTCAGCTTCGCATCGAAGCTAAAACTTGTTTTTCTTCCATAAAGAATAGTTTGTTGCATACAAAATTTTATAGATATGAGAGTAGACAAGTATAATAATATGTCTATAAGATAACTATGAACTTTATAGTTTTGGAATTAAAAAATTTACTTATACTTCTTATACTTAATATATATTAAAATAAGATATTTGACATGACAACAATAGATATCAATATAATAACATTTTTTTTAGGCTTCTGAAGGACGATGGAAGTGGAATGAAAGTACAGAATTAGAGTATACATCTGCTTTTTTCACTGGAGTGTATGGTATGTGGAATATTTACATTTTTGCTCTTATAGTGTTATATTCACCATCTCATAAGCATTGGCCTTCAGAAATTGGTAAGTAAAACTTGAAAACATATTACGTTATAAACATTACTGTGGCTTTCAAAATCGCATTTCTTTTAGCTTCGATGCGAAGCTGAGAAGGTATTAATTTTACCATGATGTGTTTATTTTTTTTTTTTTTTTTTTTT